TGTTTCACCCTCCGCCCTGTACGTGGATTATCTATGGGTGAAACTGAATGGGTAGATCTGTTTCACCCTCCGCCCTGAATGCGTAGATCCGTTTCACCCTCCGCCCTGTACGTGGATTATCTATGGGTGAAACTGAATGCGTAGATCTGATTCACCCTCCGCCCTGTACGTGGATTATCTATGGGTGAAACTGAATGGGTAGATCTGTTTCACCCTCCGCCCTGAATGCGTAGATCTGTTTCACCCTCCGCCCTGTACGTGGATTATCTATGGGTGAAACTGAATGCGTAGATCTGTTTCACCCTCCGCCCTGTACGTGGATTATCTATGGGTGAAACTGAATGGGTAGATCTGTTTCACCCTCCGCCCTGAATGCGTAGATCTGTTTCACCCTCCTCCCTGTACGTGGATTATCTATGGGTGAAACTGAATGGGTAGATCTGTTTCACCCTCCGCCCTGAATGCGTAGATCTGTTTCACCCTCCTCCCTGTACGTGGATTATATATGGGTGAAACTGAATGGGTAGATCTGTTTCACCTCCCCCTCTCCTGTCCTGAATGCGTAGATCTGGAATGCACCCTCCTCCCTGTACGTAGATTATCTATGGGTGAAACTGAATGCTAGATCTGTTTCACCCTCTGCCCTGTACGTAGATTATCTAAACCCTGGGTGAAACTGAATGCGTAGATCTGTTTCACCCTCCGCCCTCCCTGTACGTAGATTATCTATGGGTGAAACTGAATGCGTAGATCTGTTTCACCCTCCGCCCTGTACGTAGATTATCTATGGGTGAAACTGAATGGGTAGATCTGTTTCACCCTCCGCCCTGAATGCGTAGATCTGTTTTACCCTCCGTCCTGTACGTAGATTATCTATGGGTGAAACTGAATGCGTAGATCTGATTCACCCTCCGCCCTGTACGTGGATTATCTATGGGTGAAACTGAATGCGTAGATCTGTTTCACCCTCCGCCCTGTACGTGGATTATCTATGGGTGAAACTGAATGGGTAGATCTGTTTCACCCTCCGCCCTGAATGCGTAGATCTGTTTCACCCTCCGCCCTGTACGTGGATTATCTATGGGTGAAACTGAATGCGTAGATCTGTTTCACCCTCCGCCCTGAATGCGTAGATCCGTTTCACCCTCCGCCCTGTACGTGGATTATCTATGGGTGAAACTGAATGGGTAGATCTGTTTCACCCTCCGCCCTGAATGCGTAGATCCGTTTCACCCTCCGCCCTGTACGTGGATTATCTATGGGTGAAACTGAATGGGTAGATCTGTTTCACCCTCCGCCCTGAATGCGTAGATCCGTTTCACCCTCCGCCCTGTACGTGGATTATCTATGGGTGAAACTGAATGGGTAGATCTGTTTCACCCTCCGCCCTGTACGGGGATTATCTATGGTCGAAACTGAATGGGTAGATCTGTTTCACCTTCCGCCCTGAATGCGTAGATACGTTTCACCCTCCGCCCTGTACGTGGATTATCTATGGGTGAAACTGAATGCGTAGATCTGTTTCACCCTCCGCCCTGAATGCGTAGATCCGTTTCACCCTCCTCCCTGTACGTGGATTATCTATGGGTGAAACTGAATGGGTAGATCTGTTTCACCCTCCGCCCTGAATGCGTAGATCTGTTTCACCCTCCTCCCTGTACGTGGATTATCTATGGGTGAAACTTGCTCTACTTCACCCTCTGCACTGTACAGAGATGATCTATGGGTGAAACTGAATGCGTAGATCTGTTTCACCCTCCGTCCTGTACGAGGATTATCTATGGGTGAAACTTGCTCTACTTCACCCTCTGCACTGTACAGAGATGATCTATGGGTGAAACTGAATGCGTAGATCTGTTTCACCCTCCGTCCTGTACGAGGATTATCTATGGGTGAAACTTGCTCTACCTTCTTCACCCTCTGCACTGTACAGAGATGATCTATGGGTGAAACTGAATGGGTAGATCTGTTTCACCCTCCGCCCTGAATGCGTAGATCTGTTTTACCATCCGTCCTGTACGAGGATTATCTATGGGTGAAACTGAATGGATAGATCTGTTTCACCCTCCGCCCTGAATGCGTAGATCCGTTTCACCCTCCGCCCTGTACGTGGATTATCTATGGGTGAAACTGAATGGGTAGATCTGTTTCACCCTCCGCCCTGAATGCGTAGATCTGTTTCACCCTCCGCCCTGTACGTGGATTATCTATGGGTGAAACTGAATGGGTAGATCTGTTTCACCCTCCGCCCTGAATTCGTAGATCTGTTTCACCCTCCGCCCTGTGCGTGGCTTATCTGTGGGTGAAACTGAATGGGTAGATCTGTTTCACCCTCCGCCCTGAATGCGTAGATCCGTTTCACCCTCCGCCCTGTACGTGGATTATCTATGGGTGAAACTGAATGCGTAGATCTGATTCACCCTCCGCCCTGTACGTGGATTATCTATGGGTGAAACTGAATGGGTAGATCTGTTTCACCCTCCGCCCTGAATGCGTAGATACGTTTCACCCTCCGCCCTGTTCGTGGATTATCTATGGGTGAAACTGAATGCGTAGATCTGATTCACCCTCCGCCCTGTACGTGGATTATCTATGGATGAAACTGAATGGGTAGATCTGTTTCACCCTCCGCCCTGAATGCGTAGATCCGTTTCACCCTCCGCCCTGTACGTGGATTATCTATGGGTGAAACTGAATGGGTAGATCTGTTTCACCCTCCGCCCTGAATGCGTGGATCTGTTTCACCCTCCTCCCTGTACGTGGATTATCTATGGGTGAAACTGAATGGGTAGATCTCTTTCAACCTCCGCCCTGGATGCGTAGATCCGTTTCACCCTCTGCCCTGTACGTGGATGATCTATGGGTCAAAACTAAATGCGTCGATCTGTTTCACCCTCCGCCCTGTACGGGGATTATCTATGGGTGAAACTGAATGGGTAGATCTGTTTCACCCTCCGCCCTGAATGCGTAGATCCGTTTCACCCTCCGCCCTGTACGTGGATTATCTATGGGTGAAACTGATTGCGTAGATCTGATTCACCCTCCGCCCTGTACGTGAATTATCTATGGGTGAAACTGAATGGGTAGATCTGTTTCACCCTCCGCCCTGAATGCCTAGATCCGTTTCACCCTCCTCCCTGTTCGTGGATTATCTATGGGTGAAACTTGATCTACTTCACTGGAGCCCTGTCTAGAAAAGGATTCATTCCCTCCTGTTAAATTCTTCCGATAGAATAATTTCCCTGGGTTGTTGCTTCCTTTCGGAAACTGTTATCTAGATTATCCTTTACTTAAACTGGCAGGGTGAGTCAGTGAGTATGGTTTTAGCAACTTAGCAATATTCTGGCTATATCACGACAGGGAACAGCAGAAATAGGCATCACACATTGTATCAAGTGGGGAATCGAACCCGTATATTCAGCGTGACGAGTGGACGCTTTTACCATTAGGCCACCGCTCCTAAACTACAAGGGAATCGTAACCTAGTACATATTCCAACCAGGGAAACACAGGAGTGTGAGTTTAGTTTTACGCCGCTTTTAGCAATATTCCAGCAATATCACGGCGGGAGGAAACACAGGAGAAATGAATGGTCTTTTACACGCATCTCAAATCAGGTAACCAGTGGTCTGGTGAGAACACTGAAATGATGCTTGCACATGTTAAGTATATGGTTCCGGCAACTGTTCTTCCTATATAATTCTGTAGATAACTGAGGTTGGGGGTGACATACCGGTGGTTGATAGCATGATCAACGATACAAATCAGTCAATCAACCCAACCCTGAGTTATTTTGTATTTGGGAAGTCTTCTGCGCGAAGCCTCCTCCCCGGGTATTTCTTTTTCAAAATAATTGATTTCAAAATGCGGGCCAACAAATCACAGAAAAACGTTTTATTTGATTGTGCGTTGTTGAGTATGTTCTCCACATTGAAGTGAGTGAGTTTAGTGTTACGCCGCACTCAGCAATATTCCAGCTATATAGTGGCGTTCTGTAAATAATCGAGCCTGGACCAGACAATCCAGTGATCAACAGCATGAGCATCGATCTATACGCAATTGGGATACGATGACATGTGTCAACCAAGTCAGCGAGCCTGACCACCAAATCCCGTTAGTCGCCTCTTACGACAAGCATGGGTTACTGAAGATCAATTCTAACCCGGATCTTCACGTGGTTCTCCACATTGGAAGGTATTCCATTTATGTCACGGAGTGTCAAGTAAATTGCGGGAGGGAAGCCCCAGGTAGACATTAGGGGTGAAACGGTACGCTCCGTATTGCGGTGCAATGCCTTCGGTTCGCTCCGTTTCGGTTCGATATATGAGATATGATCATAATGCAGCAAATTGACAACAAGAGGCAAACCTTACATTGTTTGATAACATCGAAAGAAATAACCATAATCTCTGTTATTTTGAATGAACAAAACTGTCATTTTTGACTTGATAGAAATGACGGTACGTAAACCGAAAATACCGAATTTTGGATTGCATTACGGTATACCGAACCGAAGGCAAAATACCGCTGTGCTACTAATACCGCGGTATACCGTTTCACCCTCAAGTAGACATGTCTTGAATGTAGGTCGAAGCCATGAGCACCAGTATGGACAAACCTTGAACCATAATGGGCGCAAATCGGGATTCGAAACCCAGTCCATGGACACAATTCGACATAGGGGTAGAGAAAAACTTTCCCAATTTGACACATCAGTCAAACATCTTTTTTCATTTGAGGAAAGCAGACAAAGTATTTCCCTTGTTGAGTAAACCTATGTACCAAACTCTTCCGTTAATGTTATGGCTAATGTTCGTACGTATCATGGAAATTATTCAGTACAAACTGTCATTTATATTACAAAAATACATTTTTTTCATGCAACCAGCATTTCCTATATCTTGGCAGAGCAAACATAAGACACGAATAAGATGCTGCATGCTTAGATTTAGATAGATTTAATTAGGCTATGGGCAGACGTATAGTCTTGATATATCGATTTACATGCTTGTTATTACAAACAGTAAGAGTAAACCAATAATTGATTTCACATCAGCTTGTTTCATTCCAGAATGGCCAGTGGAGAGATATGCAACCACTTTATCTGCAGTGTAGATTCCGCTCCTCGTTGCTCCAGTTGCATAGCAGGAGAACTCCCTGTCATAAGCTTCCCCTGCAAAGAAAACGTTCCCAACAGGAGCCCGTATGGCTTCAAAGATCACAGAGTTGAATGCCAGTGGTTCCATGTTGCAAAAGGATCCCCTGTACAACGGATTAGTCTTCCAGTTGGTGATGAATACATCTTCCGGGTCGTCAACGTTGGTGTAGACACGCCGGAGGATGGCCATCACCTCAGCTGTGATTTCTGCATCAGTCAGTTCCGACACTCTGTCCGCATCTTCCCCTTGTGTCACCATCTGGAGAATATTGGTTCCATTGGGAAACAGTCCTTCAGCCTCTAGGTTCTGCCAGACTGGAAAGACGCCTCGTCTTTCATCAGCGTACAGGATGTATTCGGTGTTGTCCCAGAACCTAGATGAGGTGTTAGGGAATTTGAGATATACACTGAGATAGTTTTCTAACCTGACTCGAAACAGATTGTCGATCTTCCAGTCTGGGAGTGGTGGGCTGAAGGTCACAGAGCCACTTTTCAGGACTCCAATACTGAAAGTAACGATGACAACGTCTGCCGTGAAGACATTCCCGTTCTGGGTGGTAACTGTCACTGTAGTGTCGTTGTAGGTGATGTCTGTGACGACTTCATTCAGATGTAGTCGCTGATCATTGGGTAATAATGCATCTTCAGCGTATGTCTTAAGTATGAACTCAAAACCTCTTTCGTCCATAACATAGTACAGATCGTCGACGGCATCTGTATTTATACCGACACTGTTACAGGAAGTCACTCCAGGGGTTCCTCCATATTCAAAGTCGTAGTCAAATATCTCTACAACTTTTTCCACAGGCGTACGTGAGGACCATCCTCCAATGTCCAGACAGGCTCGAAGTGACATGTCCGCCGCTTTCTTGTCTTCAAATCTTTTGAAGATCTCGGTTAAAGTCATTTGTGCTGATTCTAATTTGGTCCATGCGTCTTCCCCTTCTGTGTCCGTGGCATTGTCTCCGTTGAAGGTTCTGATTAAAACACTGTCAAAATCTGACTTTTTCCCCGACACGTTGTACTTCTGGATAACATCCCACAGAGGGGTGCCTTCTTTACCTATCATCCAGGTTGCTCCTTCCTCTACAGTCTTGCCACCAAATTGGACAGATTTGACCCTTCCACCAGTTCTGTTCGATCCTTCCAGTATCCTGAAGTCGCTGATGTTTCTTTCTCCCAGAGTCTTTGCCGCCGCCAAGCCTGATGCCCCGGCTCCAAGTATCAGTACCTGGCTATGATCTGTTCAACAATCAAAGCGGGCATATAGTCATAAGAGTAAGTAATAATATATATACTTTGCAAAAACGTAAGGGATAGCATGAATCAACAAGACATGTATTCTAATCCACATGGTATTGGCAAATGGAAAAGATATTTTCATATACTTCACAAAATTAGAAACTGGAGACATTATTGTTAATAATTGTGAGGGGATTTTCTGTTCAATTTCCTGTGCCATTTACATAGTTGTTTGAACATGGTCTTGGCGACCGACGCGAAAATATAAGAAGTTGGGCCAGCACTCGTTGGTCGATGATGACGACATCCGATTGAAGAGTTCCAACAGGTTCCCCTGTCCTTGAGCAGACGTCGTGTTGCCGTCACTGTCGTGCGAGGTCACACTCGATATTTACTTCTGTTCCTACAGTTTATCAGTAGCTCATGGAACGTCATGCAATGAAATGATGCCGCAATCCATTTTTCTCCGCTAGTGCGTGTTACCTGGATAATAGCAATATGATACACATCTGCCTTCATAATAACACACACTACCGCCAGTGGCAGGGTTTTTATTGTTTGTGTATATTACTCGCAGCAAACGTAAGGCCACCACACCAAGGACATTGGTGACTTACGGTACTTCTGCTACCTGCTTGGTACCCTAGCTGCAATATCTGAATAATGAATAACATCTTGCACTTACTTGAACTCCCTACATTCTGAGTCTGACATGGAACCAACTCCAACTGTATGATGAAAAGCACCAAGACTGCTGCTGCCTGGAAACCAGTTAACCACAGCATCTTGCAAAATAATAGAAAATCGGTAAGCACGATAAATCGATGAATTGCAAAAATCTAAATATGGTCTTATGCTTAAAATATAATACTTGATTTCAATACAAATCATACAGTCAATCGCCATATGATAGCATGCCACAATATACTCATAGCAACGAATAAGGGAACACTTAAAACTACAAGTGTTCCTTCATATATTTCCAGAATTTCACCCACAGTGCAATACATACCTTCTGAAGAAACCTGGAAAAGTATAAAGGAACTCTTGTACTTTCAGAGTTCCCTTATTCGTTTCCATGAAATTATCTGATATGTCTGGTGAGTATTTGCAGTTTGTTGAATGAAGAGCAACAAATACGATTTTTCAAAATATTTCCTCTCAGTTCATGAGCACCTATCATAGAAAGCAAAGGACATTAGTTTCTGCTCTGAAGGATACATGTACTCATTTATGCACAAAATAACATAATATAATTCCAGTTATGTCCTATAGACAGGTTTATATGTCGTGTACAGACACATCACGCACCATAACATGTTTAATGGCAGTATATTCTATTCAAGTACGGTAATGTTTTAATCGACGTGATCAGAAAACAACGTCAATCTTGATCCTCAGCTGTAACATTCCATGAGGTGTAAAGTGCACACTATAGGAGTAAAAGGTAAGAACAGATCATAGGCTGACAGAGTAACTGTAACCAGTTAGTTAAGTGTAAAGTCTTCCCTGTCTGAAATTTGGCAACACCAGACAAGAAGAACTAGATATCTCAATATGAACAAAAAGGTCTAATCTATACCAGCGCACGCGTCTAACTTGTAAAAGATTTTCAAAAATATATATTCTACAGAAAATTAATTGACGGCAAAACAAAGCTTCCGAAACATTTAAAATCTGTAAAATGATCCATGATAGCCATACTTGTGCTTTTGAAGTTCATAATTCACAGGGGTGGAAGGGTAGCCTATTGGTTAGAGCGTCACCATTCCCCAGATGGGTACGATGTGTGAAGCTAATTTCTGTTGTCTTTCACCATATTGCTGGAATGTTGCTTAAAACGACGTAGAAATAAACTCACTCACTCACTCACTCACTCATAATTCAGAACCGTTAAGCCAGACACAGAGACCATTTATTTTGACCGCTATAACCAGTGATTACACTTGTAGTATGCTTAGTTTTGAAACTTGTTATCTATTCCTAACAATGAACATAAAGTGTATGTCCTCTGGTTTGACCAGGGAATTACACACAGGCCATGTTGGACGTTCTCAGCATATCCGCATGGCTACCCTGTTCAGAGCGTAAATTTTATGCTCTTTATGATCTCGTTTCCGTATGCTGCTGCTGGTGTGTGGCCATTTCAACAGGTATTCCAATGACAAACAATGATGCTGGTGTTGGAAGTGGTTAACGCCAGCCATTTCCCTGCGTGTAATCATCCTACTGAGCATTCTAGCAGAATTCCAGCAATATTCTGGGGACATCAGAAATGGAGTTAATACATTATACCCATGTGGGGATTCGAACCCGGGTCTAAGGTGTGACAAACTAAGGCTTTCACCACTAACACACCCCACCCGCAAAGTACTTACTTTATCTGTTTCGCCAGTCAGCACGCTTCCACCTCTATCACGTCGTCAAAACGTTGGATGACAACACACACATTGACACACCTCAGTCGGCTCGCCTCTCAAATGATCCCTCACCGAAAATTGCCGACCTTTTATATTGATTAACATTGGTGTTCGTTGCAGTTGCAAGAATATTTATGTATGTACGTCTCTCAAGTAAAACGTTTTAGGGATTAATGTGAACAGTCGCAGACTATATATTTGAAAATTATGTATATTCGTACCTACATTCCAATATACTGTGTTGCAGCTGTGTGGTTTGAATAGATATTGTGACTGGTATAGCACGACTGAAAACATCCATCCACGAAATGTGTAGCGTATTTGAAAGCGTCAATGAATATTTTCTTCATTTAGACTACTTGAATTAACATCTATTCTTGGCCAAACTACGTTCAAATTCGACTACAATGCAGTAAATAGTTTCAAATTTAAATACAAATGACAAATTAATAAACACCTTGAAATACTTCATATCACCATAATGAAGATAAATACATACTACATAGCTGTAGAAAATAAGTGAACGATTGCCATTCAAGCCGGCAATTTAGGCCTGAATGCATGCATGACGTGCATCTCGATTTCAATGTTGTGTTTGTGCGAACTCTTCCCTTTCCACAAACAATACTTTATTGGGCAATACAGGCTATACGACCACGATTAATGTTTTCCTCAAATTTGACTTCCGGTGTATATTTAAAAAACAATAGGTTCAAATACTCCGTTGATGTTTAAATTTCATTTCCAATATTACGACGTTTCTTTTGCCGTTCAGTATATAATATGCATTTGCGCATACATATTTTGCTGGATTAGAGATATTGAGGCAGCAGCATAGATAACACCCCGGTTGAATAGCAAGGGAAATGTGTGGTACAATACAGTGTTGCATGGGTGGATGGGATGGTCGACACATACTTAGATCATCATTGTGTAATGTTAAGGTATTATCATGTGGGTGAAGTAATACACCCATGGAAGTGCTCTTGTGGTCGTTAAACGGATTTTGTTGCTTTTATTTACGTGCTCCATAGAGTGAGTGAGTGAGTTTAGTTTGACGCCGCTTTTAGCAATATTCCAACTGGACACCGGCAAACATGCACTGCTCACTTGGTCCAGTACATTACACACTAGGTATTTGTTGTATAAGGACGATGTTTGTTTGGTGAAATATACCTACAGTGTCTATTTGCCATGGCCAAGTAGTTTCTACGTTACTAGAAATATTTTATGGCTGTGTTTTCTCTGTGCGTTTTGGACACATGACCTTGATTAGTCAGGGTATATCTGACGATGCATGACCCTCAAAGGGCAAGGGGCGGTGGGGTGGCCTAGTGGTTCGCTCGTCACGCCTAAAGCCCGGGTTCGATTCCCCACATGGGTACAATGTGTGAAGCCCATTTCTGGTGTCCCCCGCCGCGATGTTGCTGGAATATTGCTAAAAGGGGCTTAAAACCACTGCCACTGTACACTATTATTTGCGTATCAAGTCTTATATTTGAAAATCTGCTGCCGCAAAAGGCTTCCTCGCCCAAGTGACGGCCTGTTCTCTCACATGTGCTGTGGCATGCTTGTTACCTAAAGTACCAATGTTTATGTGAGGCATGAAGACCTGACCGCTGCAGTGTCGTAGATGACGGTTAGGGCTACTACATTAACTAAGAAACATTTGTTGTCAATGCATCCTCACCATGTGTCTTCAGTATGAACTTATAACCTCTGTCGTCCAATACATTGTTTCACTTCGGTCATTGTCAATCATCTCCACAACGTTTTCCAGGGAGTTCAGGGTAACATCTTCAAATGTCGTACTAACATGTCCTCCGTTTCCTTGACTTCATACCATCTGAAAACCTACGATATGAACATTCGTGCTGAACCTAATTTGCTGCATAGTTTTTTCCGAATTTATCTGTGATATTTTCAAATTAAAATTATGTCACGTACGCACGCACACATTAAACTCTACAAGAGAACAGTTTTTCGTCACTATAACTTTGTTCAAGCCATCAGATACTGTTTTTACAAACGACATGACATGAGTGTCATTCATTTAAGGACGGGGTAAAATTGACCATCACATGACAACCCATGCTTGTTGTAAATGGCTAAAAATAGGGGGAGCAGGAAAAAAGCCACCGGGACAAATGCTACCTAGGACAAATGCCACCTAGGACAAATTGGACAGGGTAGTCAGGCTCGTGGGACTTGGTTGACACATGTCATCGTATCCCAATTACACAGATCGATACTCATGACGACAATCGCTGGATTGAGTAGTCTAGACTCGATTATTTACAGACCACTGTCACACAGATAGAGTGAGTAATTTTCTTGTCCTTTGTTAACAATGATTGTTTATCAGGGACGTCTGTATTAACAAACACACAGGACAAACAAATACAGGCCCAGGAATGCGGCGTTGTCCTCTGGAAATAAAACAGATGAGTGCAATTCCTTCACCATGAGTCGGCTTTAAATTACGTTGTTGACACGCTCCGAGGATTAAGACAAACAATGTTCAACAGCTTACGCAAATACCACATCCAAATACAGTTAAAGAACTGCAGGAAATATTTCTAACTTTCTGTCCTGCACTGAAGTGTCGATGGGATGGCTTAGTGGCTAGAGCTTCCGTTCGTCACTCCGAAGGCCTGGGTTCGATTCCCAACATGGGTACAATGTGTACTGCTCTGAACAACTTGACCTGCATGTACATTGTACACGAGTTTCTTTGAACTTGAAATTGAATGTAAAACTCTCTTCATAGTCTGCATTATATTACTGGCTATAGTGAAGAGGTACTTTCTTCTATTTGTAAACCATATCTAGGAACCGACCAAGTCAAAACGTCGCAAATGCTGCCTCTATTGTATCACAATGTTATTGGGCTGACATACAGTACAACCAGAAATTATTGAGAAATTAAGATTGTAATTCTTTATATTTGTTTCACTCATTACTCACGTATTAAATGTGAATATTAGCAGAACATAACTCCAGATTCAAAGACAGGTGAACAGTTAGTATTTTGTCACCATGGGCAGCAATGCAGGCTTCAATGCGGCGGGGCATACTACTGATCAAAGAAGTTAGAAAGTCGTGGTCCATGCTGTCCCAATATCGGACCACCTCTTCTTTCATTTCAGCAATATTTGTCAGATTTTTCTTATTGACACTTTCCTTCATAAGTCCCCAAACATTTTCTATTGGATTTAGGTCAGGGCTATAGCTTGGCCAATCTAATAATGTCATATTTTGGGTCCAACGCCAGGCCTGTGAATGCTTTGAACGATGTTTTGGGCCGTTGTCCTGCTGGAAAATCCAAACATTTCCATAGAACACGTGAGCAGATGGAAGTAAAT